CAAAGTATAATAAAGTATATTGTCAATAATACATATTTTCATTTTCAGACAAATGATGTATGAAAATCACCTTAAAAAAATAGATATTAATAAAACTGTGAAGTCTTTTAAGTTTATTTCTCAGTTCAAAAAAACTCTCAAAACCCTTTTGGGTTTTTTGAGAAAAATATGTATAATAACATATGTATTGTAATTAAAATCAATAGACACAATTGGAAAACATGCATTTTGGAGTTTTTTTTTTTACATTTAGACTTTAAAAACATTGTCTGAAATGCCAAAAAGCCATAAAAATGGACAGATTCATGAAAAAAAAAATATTTGCCTGTAGTGTCTCTCCTTAACTATTAAGCTCTTCTGTGCTCACTACATCATTGCAGTTTTATAAAGAAATTTCTAATTGTGGGGAAAACAAAATCTGGAATACAATGCAAAATACTTTTTTTTTTTTTTTTTTTTGCTTCTGAAAAAATCTACTTTGTATTTCTTAGTGAATGTATGTTTTTGCAGATATGGATTCACCAGAGAAGTCATGCAGAAGTACAAGGTAAATAGGTTTAGGTTTTATGATTGATGTTTTATGTAAATTTTTTTGTAGTAATCAGGGTGCCTGCAGGGTCTTAAATAAAAAAAAATAATAATTTAATTATTTTATTAATATATAATTTTATTAATAATCAATATGGTTGAATTATCTTCATTTCGTCCTTACAATAAATTTATTTCGCCCTGTATTTATGCATAAATTAGTATTGTACAAAAAAGTTTGTTTATTCTAGCTTTTAAAACTTATCCTTTTTAAAAAGAAAAGTTATGCTCATAAAAGAAATATATGTATATAACTACATTGCTTGTTTTTACACTTTATTTAAAAAATGTGGCCAACAAATAACTAAATGTTAACTTTATTGGGGCAAGTAAAAACAATTAGGTTCTACTGGCCATAAGTAAAATTTTCTTAGCATTTTGCCCTTTCAAAGTCTGAAATTTCATTCATAATGGTCTTAAAAAGTCTTAAATTTGATGTGATTAAACCTGCAGAAACCCTGAATATTGCTTCGGTTTCTTTGGACAAATGTTTATTTGTAAATGTAAAGAAAAGTTTTGTGCCATTAAAACTTACCAATATATTGATTAACCTTCCTGAAGTTTAATGTTATTTATATTGCAGTTTGTTTTTTAATACTTTGTCCTAAAAAATGTAAACAATAAAGTATATTGTTTAACAGTGTTTAATTAATAAAGGTTTTCTGTTTTAGACATTGCTGCCTCCTACTGGACATCTAGGGCAATGTTTACTATATTTTTCTGTTTTGTCAATAGACTCATGGCAGGGAAATCCTGCAGCTCCTTCAGGATGTGTTCAGTCTTCTTCCTGTTGCAACTGTAATAGACAACAAAGTGCTTATTGTTCATGGTGGCATATCGGACAAAACTGATCTGGACTTTCTGAGCACTGTTGAAAGGCATAAAGTAGGCATTTTTTATCTTCTGTTGGATTTATAGTCTTTGTTTTTACTTTAAAAGTTACCTAAATTTTTCTTTATTTTGATTTGTAGATTTGTTTATTTAGGAAAAAGCATAAAGTGTAGAGTGTTTATTTTTTATTGATTTGAAGTAATTTATTGCTTAAATGTATTTAAATGTATTGAATTTATATATTTATTCTAAATTAATTTGTTCATATTTTTTATAATTGATTGATTTCTTTTAACCATTTAAATATTTTTTATTTATTTCAGATTTATTGTTTATATACATTGCCATTTAATATATTCTATTTGTAAATATAATAATTTATTATTTATTTTATATTTATTGACATGGACATTCTGAAGACTTTTAAAATGCATCAAGTAGTATACATTTTTTTCAACTTTTTATTTAATTTGCTTCAATGTCTTGGATATATTTGTTTTATTCATCTATAATCTATTTGTTTATTTTTTTATTAATTAAATGCATTTGTTTTAATTAATTATGAATTATATTTAATTATTTCTTTTATAAACTTTAGATTAATTGTTTTTTTATTTATTTATTTATTTGCATTTGGCTTTATATGTTATATTATTATTTGAAAAGTATAAGTGTATTTATTTATTTATTTATTTTCTGAGTACTGCTGACAGCCAAGTTGTTCTACCTTTAAGCAAAAATTCTATTTAAGTTTATAATTTAAGTGTAATTAAATTAGATTTATTTATTTATTTGATATTGATTTTCATATTGCATAAACTAATATTTAAAATTTGTTATTTGTTTATTTAAATTAGTTAGTAAAATTCTATCGCATAATGTAAAAACCCTACTCTGTGTCTCACACATGCACATGTTGTTGTCAGGTGAAGTCAGCTCTGCGTTTGCCGAAGCGCAGCACTGATCATCTGACGGTGCGCTCGTGCAGTCGCAGCAGCAGCAGAAACAGGGGCAGAAACAGCAGATCCTCAAGCCGACACTCGTCCCGCAGCAGAAGGAAGAAGCTCAGCAAGCAGGGCAGCCGCTCCTCCTCTTCCTCATCCTCCTCATCCTCCTCTTCCTCCATGTGTTCGCCACGGGTCTCAGCCAAAAACACTCCACGCCGCCCTCCACCGAGCCCCACAGACATGCTCCAAGTGCCCTTTCTGGACTCATTCGTGTCCTTGGAGCCACCAGAGCTGCCCAGAGAAGAGCTGGAGTGGCAGCAGGTCAGTTGTTGTCTTTCCAGTGAATGTGCGATGTGAGTTTGTGACGAATTTTAGATGTAAAACAGTTTTTCTGCTTTGGTCTCCATTTGGTATAATAGCCAAGTATATACAGTATGACTATTGAAGAAGTTTCAGAAGTGTGCATTTTTTTTTCAGATCCATACATTTTTGTAATTTTTAATTAATTCATTTATTTCAAAATTTATTACATTTATCTACTGTACATTAAGTGCAAAATTATTCATACCCTTAGCACGTTCTGACTTAAAGTAAATTTATTTATTTTTTAACGGAAATGACACCGCTTCTTCCAAAAGATAATGATGTACACGAGGCATCAATGTGGAAAAAATTAAATATTTTTCTGTAAAATTAAATTAAATATTTTTCTTTATTTACTTTTGAACAAAAAGTAGCTGTCAGAATTTGCTAAGGGTATGAATAATTTCAGGTTTGACTATTTATGTTTAGTTTAGTTTATCATTTATTTATTTGTTATTATTTTATTTCTTTTTTTTAATAGCTGCTTTCATTTTGATTGTTTGTTACTTATTTGTGTATTTAACAGTTTTCAAACTAAATGGTTTTAATATAGTTATTGTATATTATTTATGGTGGTTTTTAATTGGATTGTTTAATAAATAAATGATAATAAATGTTAAAAACCTTTGGGTCCTGGTAATGTCCTGTAGTATTTAGTTTGTACTCCAAATTAATATTATTCTAGTTATGCAGATTTGATTTTCATTTTAAATTAATTCAGTTTCACAAGTTTAGAATTCTATTTATTTATTCATAATCTATTTATAATTATATTTTTAATTAAATAAATGTATTTGTTTAAATTATTAATTTAATGTAATTATTTCATACTTTTCACTTTTCCAAAGTAGATTTTTTAAATTGTTTTATTTGTATTTTTTCCTTTTTTTATTTAATATTTTTATTTGGAAATTATAATACCATGTAACATATACATCTGCAAGAACATACATTAGTAACTAAGAAATATGAATCGTATATTTTCAGTGGCAAAAAAGAATTTTATTTTAAAGTATTTTGCATTGCATACCAGAGATTCCCCCCCACAATTTACAATTTATTTATAAAACTGCAATGATTTATTTATTAGAATATTTTTTAATTGATTGAATTTCTATTGATATATTTTTATTTTATTTCTTTTTTTTAATAATTGCTTTTATTTTTTATTGTTTCTAACTTATTTGTTTATTTATTGGTTTTTAAACTAAATTGTTTTATTTAAATTAATTTATAATTTCCCAAATGATGTTTAGCAGAGCAAAGAAATTTTCACAGTATGTTTGATAATATTTTTTCATCTGGAGAAAGTCTTATTTGTTTTATTTTGGGTAGAATAAAAGCAGTTTTTATTTTTTTAAAGAAATCCATTGTTGAAATTTTTAGCCCCTGTAAGCTTTTCTGTATCAGCTTTGCCTAAATACTCTAACCTTCTTAGTTAACCTAATTAACCTTGTTAAGCCTTTAAATGTCACTTTAAAAGAAGTAGTAAAATATTATTTACTGTCATCATGACAAAGATAAAAGAAATCAGTTATTAGAAATGAGTTATTAAAACAACTGTAATAATAAATGTTTAAAGCGTTTGAGTAAAGTCCTATAATACCTCTACAGTCCAAACTGTATGTGTTATATCCAAATACGTGTTTGATGCAGGTTGTGGATATCCTGTGGAGTGACCCTAAACATCAGAATGGCTGCAGTCCCAATTCTTTTCGCGGTGGAGGCTGTTACTTCGGGCCAGACGTGACACAGACACTGCTGCAGAAACACGGCCTCTGTCTGCTCATCAGATCACACGAATGCAAACAGGAGGGCTATGAGCTTTGCCACAATGGACAGGTGAACACACAAACCTCCAACTGTCCCAAACGTGATCCATTCTGTCACTCTATTATTACATTACATTTAGATTTTAATTTAGTACAGTACAGGTAAGTTTAAGAGAATTGTCACAGTTAAAACAATAGTTGACGCCAATATTATTTTTTACTGTTTTTATTTTAATTTTGTTTTATTATTTTTTATTGTTAATTAATAAAATGTATTTTTTTATTATTTACTTTTTTGTAACTTTTTAAAAACTTTTTTTAAATTGATATTTTTATTTATATTCAATGTTTTTTTATTTTTTTTATTTAATTTATTTATTAAGTCTAATTTTTCATTTATATTTATCTTTCTGTTAAATTGTTTTGTTTTATTTTATTATGTGTTGAATTTGTACATTTACTTATTCTTAATTAATTTATTTTTGACACTTGTAATTAATCACGGTTATTTGTTTTAGTTATTGTTTTAATTTTTTTTTTTTTTACCTTTATTGTTCAATACATTTTTCCATTGACTTTTTTGTACTGTCAATATTTTTGTATTTTATATTTTTATTTGGAAATTATATTTGTTTATTAATTTATGAGTATTTAAAAAAATTTAAAATGAAATTAAAAAAGCTATGTTTGAAGAATGTTGGAAACCTGTAGCCATTAGCATTAACTTGAATAGTAAGAAAAAATATATACTATGAAAGACAATGCTACCAGTTTTCATAATTGTTTACTAGTCCAATATAGCCGTAATAGAAATATAGAAGAAGAAATCAAACAGGGTGATGCGGTGGCGCAGTAGGTAGTGCTGTCGCCTCCCAGCAAGAAGGTAGCTGCTTCGAGCCTTGGCTGGGTCAGTTGGCATTTCTGTGTGGAGTTTGAATGTTCTTCCCGCGTTCGCGTGGGTTTCCTCCGGGTGCTCCGGTTTCCCCCACAGTCCAAAGACATGCGGTACAGGTGAATTGGGTAGGCTAAATTGACCGTAGTGTTTGAGTGTGAATGAGTGTGCATGGATGTTTCCCAGAGATGGGTTGCAACTGGAAGGGCATCCACTGCATAAAACATATGCTGGATATATAACATTTGCTGGTGGCGACCCCAGATTAATAAAGGGACTAAGCCGAAAAGAAAATGAATAAATGAATGAAATCAAACAGGAAGAAATATAGAACAAATAATAAACGGGTTTGGCCACAAAAGTTCAGTTTTATGAGGTCTTTTCTTTTATGAAGTATTTTCTTCTTTTATCCAAGGTTATCACTATATTCTCTGCATCAAACTACTATGAAGAGGGCAGTAACCGTGGGGCTTATGTCAAACTGGGGCCTGAACTTGTCCCTCGCTTCTTCCAGTATCAAGTCAGTCGAAGCACCAGAAAACTCACCCTCCATCAGAGGTACTCGCCACATTTTCAATCACAAATGTATTAAGGGTGTACAATATAAAACAAATTGACAAAAAAAATGCATATATTATTATTTTTCTTTTTTCCTGATAATGATAATTTCACGTCAGTGTTGTTTTGACAGTAATACCCTGTGTTAATAAGTAAATCGCTGAATTATTCATTCAAATTATTTGTTCGGATTGACTGATTCACTTAGAAACCAAGCATGTGAGAAAATTAGGGTATTTTTAGGAATAGATCATGGAGTAATTTTCTTTTTTTTATATTTATTGCATTTTAACTTTACATTCATCTAATACAGAAGTAAAATCAACAATAAAACAAACAAAACAAAAAAGAAATGAAAAAATAAGCTTCTCAGTATTTTACATCAATATTTATGACCTCTCTTATTCATCAGTCATCAAATGTCCAACTTCACCACATTTTAGGAACAGAGTCATTTTCTTAAAGGATTTGTTCAAAAACGGATTCATTCAGAACTTCAGTATTTCTCTGAGACGGACAAATGTTTTGCCCCAAATTTTGTTATGGACTATATTACCACTGGTGAAACTGAAAACAACAACAAAAAAAAACAGACAATACTCTGTGTAAAATGTAATTTGCTCATTATTGATAACTTTTGTTGTAGTGAAAATCAGTATTGGTTAAATGAATAAATGAATGCATTGAAAGAATCACTGAACAAAGCTTGTAACTGTATGTGTGATGGGTAATGAACGTGTTTGTTTTAGGGTTCGAGTAGCTGAAGGTTCTGCACTCAGGGCTCTGAAAGAGAAACTTTATGCTCATCGCTCTGAACTCATGGCTGCCTTTCAACAGTATGACATCAATAACACAGGTTATTATATTATGTTATGTTCTGTTATATTATGTATTATTAATTAGGTTGCTGTTGGTAAGATTTCTGAAGTCACAAATGCTCACCTAAGTAGGATTTAAACTCTATTATTGTGGAATATTATTACAATTTCAAACATCTGTTTTCTATTGTAATGTATTGTAAAGTGTAATATATTCCACTAGTGATCAAGCTGTTAAAAATATTTTTGTGATAACCATGATATATAGAGAAGAAAGGCTACAAAAACAGCATTTATTTAAAACCGAGGATTAATTTTAAATGTAAATTTTAAATATATTTATATTTACTATAATTAATGTTACAAATGTCATATTATAAATATTTTATTGTTACTTTTTTGCATTTTAATGCATTCATGCAGAATGAAATTATGAATAAAAATGAAAAATTTTTATAACTTATCTTATTGAACTCTCTTAAGGACATTTTTAGCAAAGTATCACCAGAATTTTTTTTTTTTTTTATTGAAAATAATTGAAAATAGCCTTTATTGCATTAAATAAAAGTGTACTATCATTATATTATAATATATTATATTATGTTACATTACATTACATTATAGTCTGCACTTGTAATCTAGTAAGCTGAACATGATGTTTACAAATGCATGATGTTGATGTTAAAAAAATGAAAAACTACTGAAAAAGCAGACAAGCACCAGTACATGTTACACCAATATAAAATGTTCTTCTGTCTGTTTGTCTCAGGCCGTATCTCCACTAGTGAGTGGGCACAGGTGGTGGAGTCTGTTCTGCGTTTGGATCTGCCATGGAGAACCCTGCGCCCACGCCTGGCCCGTCTTGGCACAGATGGCAATGTGGAATATGAATCCTGTTTCGAGGACATCAGTCCTGGAGAGCCCATCCCTCCGGTCAGCTTCTTCATTTATATTCATGCTCTTGCTCTTATCTGACTAGGGCCAGGTATTGATTCAGATGTCCTGATTTGATTTCAAATTCACAAGCTCTTTATTCAATTTGATCCAGTTCTTGATTTAATTCCTCAATCGATTATTGATTCAATTCTCAAATCAATTGAGTGACTATAGATTTAATACAAATGCTGCTGATATTTGTAAAAGCTAAAAAAAAGAAGTGTGAACAACAAAAAATTAAATGAATTAAAATAAATTAAAACAGAAGCCACTTCTCTAGACCTCTTTTTCAAGGTCAAATAAGTGCCTTTCCTCACATTTTACACACATGTAGACACACACACACACACACACACACGCATAAGTGCTGGGCAAAGAATAATCACATCTAAAATAAAATATGCTTTGATATAATATGTGCGCTCGTATTATATTTATTATGTATATGTTATATACACATACATAAAAACAAAATTATACAAACAATTTTGTTACATAGATATTTCAATTTATATATAATTTGTGTCATATACATATATATTTATTATCTAAATATATTTAAACATTTATATATCTCAAAAATATGCATGCATTTGTGAATTTATGTATACATAATAAACATACACAGTACACACACATATTTTTATTTTGGATGGGATCAATTTTTGCCCATACACAGAAATATAAAATATTTAAAAATAAATGAATTTAGAAAGTTCTGAAACATATTTAACTTTCTTTTTTACTTTCAATATTCTACATTTAATATTAACGGCACAAAGTGTGTATTATCCCTTAAGCTGCCTGCTCCACCATATGGTTGACCATATTTTGACTGTTTTACATAATGGCAAATACAGACACAGCATTGTTTGTTAACAAAAAATTTAACAAACGTAATCCTGTTGCACAAGTACTCTTGATTATGGTCTTATAGTAAACAAAACAAAAAAAAACAAGAAATTTTTTTAACTATAACACTAAAATCAAGTGAGAATCTGAAATATTTTATGGCATACTTCAAAAAATAATGATGATTTAGTATTTTAAAAATTAAAATTTTGATTATTTGATTATGCTTTTAAATAAATTGGTTTTACACTTGATATTTTCAGGTATTTCATAGTATGTTATAATTCTAGTACCAGAAACTGACATAATACCCACTTGGTGAAGGTTGATATTTTAAAAACTGTGATGTTTTCTGTCAACTTTGGGAGATAAGAAATGCAATCCAAATATTTTTTTCTCAGTAATGCAGTTAAAGGGGTATTCTGGCTGCTGTTGCTTTAAAATATTATAATGTCTCTGAACTGCTTTTATTTTAGATATGACTGACTGTTTACATGAATACCCATTTAACTTTTCATATTTGACCGTTTAAGTTACAATTAGCCACAAAAGTGTGTTAAATTCAGTTGTTTCTGCACAATGTTTCACGTTTGCATCACAGAAAGTCACCTGTCAGTGCTTCTTTTTCTATGCTCTTTCTTTACACACATTCTTTGCTGCTATGAGGTACAGTATATAGGGAACTATGCAGAAAACTATTTCCCCACAAGCTATATAGAAATATCTTGGTTGATTGGCATTATTAAATGCATCACATTATTACACACACAAAAAAAATTTTGAACAACACAATTCCTAAGTTTTTTAGGTACAACTTAATTGTTTTAGGTTCAATCCACTTAAATTTGTAAAAATGATTGTTAACTTAATCGTATTCTTATGGGATAACTTGAAGGAATTTTGTGAAACCCAACAATTTTTACAGTGCATTACATACACTCACTGGCCACTTTATTAGGTATGCCTTTCTAGTACCAGGTTGGACCCGCTTTTGCCTTCAGAACTGCCTTAATTCTTCGTGGCATAGATTCAACAAGGTACTGGAAATATTTATTAGAGATTTTGGTCTATATTGACATGATCGCATCACACAGTTTCTGCAGATTTGTCGGCTGCACATCCATGATGTGAATTTCCTGTTCCACCACATCCCAAAGGTGCTCTATTGGATTGAAGTCTAGTGACTGTTGAGGCCATTTGAGTACAGTGAACTCTTGTCATGTTCGAGAAACCAGTCTGAGATAATGCACGCTTTATAATAATGTAAACCCTACAGATGGCTGTGGATTAAACTCCCAGTAGATAAGCAGTTCCTGAAATACTCAGACCAGCCGGTTTAGCACCAACAACCAAGCCACTCTGAAAGTCACTTAAATCACCTTTCTTCCACATTCTGATGCTCGATTTGAACTGCAGCAGATCGTCTTGACCATGTCTACATGCCTAAATGCATTGGGTTGCTGGCATGTGATTGGCTGATAAGAATTTTGCTTTAACAAGCAGTTAGACAGGTGTACCTAATAAGGTGGCCGGTGAGTGTACGTAATTATATAACCATGTTTCAATACAGAATTTAGAAAAAGAAATCCATTCATGAATTTTGATTATATTGAATAGTCCACTTAAAAAAAATAAATAAATAAATAAAAAAAACATTATTAAAGTTTTTCTACCCAGTCTTATAATTGAGCTTATATCATAATATAATAAAATATACCATATAACCTTTTTTATATGGCATTTGAGACCAATGCAACTTCATTTTTTTAAATTTTATTCTTTGTTTTTAGGTGACCCCGAACTTAGCTGAAACACTTTATAGATATAGAACTGACCTGGAGATCATTTTTAACATCATCGATAAGGATCACTCAGGTTAGCATTATTGTTCAATGAGTTAATAATGCTAATAATCGTTATTTGTTGTTTATAACCATCCATCTGCCTACCACGTGTAGGTCAGATCTCCATCGAGGAGTTTCGTCAGACCTGGAAGCTCTTCAGCTCTCATTTAGGGGTGGCTGTGAATGACCAGACCATAGACGACATGGCTCGAAGCATAGACTTTAACAAAGACGGCAGCATTGATTTTACTGAGTTCCTGGAGGCCTTCAGGGTGGTGCATAAACTGGATGTCAAAGAGCAACAGCAGGGTTAATTCTGGATCACAGACAACACAGATTTACTTTAACTTTAGTTTTTTTAACAACTTTCGGACTCCAAATACATCATTTATACATCATTACACAGGTTTTCATTTCTTTCATAAAGGTAAGTGGTTTCACTCTTTTTTGTGATATAATTAACTGAAGACGGGTTAAAGAAAATGTTCAAATAAATTAAATTAAAAATAAATTAAAAAGTCGGTCACGACTATTGTGTTGCACTGTAATTCACAAGTGCGGTTTAATTGTTTGGCAGTACGTAAGCCCATAATTGTGACTTCACTTTGAGTCATGAGTCACTTCTGTTGTTGATTTTTTTTTCTGATATGAGCTTTGTTCTTGTGTGTGTTTTACAACATAGCATCTATTATTATCAAACCTAAAACGTCAATTCGAGCTTTTGTAAGACAAGATTTCACATTTAAGGCTTAAAAATTGAAGGGAGATTAAAACAGTAAACACACACTCACACACACCCAAAAACATTGACTACTTTGTTTTTCATATTTGGTCTCTGGGATTAAGATTGCGAGTAATGCCACATTTAAATTGGATACTAAACCCACTGTATTACTTTTTTTTTTTTTTTTTTGACACTTACTGACACTTATTATTTAACTGAAAACCATTTTTGTCAATTATCATGCAATATCCCAACTTAGGAAATTCGAAAGGATGGTCTGCTTTAACTCAACATGTAAAAATATCTAATAAATACTGTAAATGTAATCTCTAAATGTTACTGTATTTAACGTCCTAACACACTGTGTATAAATTATTTCAATGTAAATGTATACATGTATCGTATTACTTTGTCTACATTATTGCTATCATTACAAAAAGGAAAAAAGAGGAATAATTGTAAAAAGTAAAGTTAAACAGAAATATGAAAAAACTAAAAATAAATCATTTTAAATAGTGCTGGGATTAATTGCGTCCAAAATAAATGATTGTTTTGAAATAATATACAGTTAGGTCCAGAAATAATTGGACATCTACACAATTCTAACATTTTGGCTGAAGAAAACTGCAGGGGAGGCCCGGCCGAGCACCACCAGGGATGAAACCCAGTGTTTGGTGATGTCTATGCATTCCAAACTTCAGGCTGTAATTGACTGCAAAGGATTTGCAACCAAGTATTAAAAAGTGAAAGTTTGATTTAGGATTATTATTCTGTCCAATAGGGTAAATGCGGAGCTAGTGTTTCTTCCCATACTGATAAACTTTCGGTGAATGATTAATGTGACTTTTTTCCATTTTTTATACGGTTCTTTTTACAGCATCGATGTTTTAAAGTGATTAAAATATAATCAGTTAAACAGACTTTAGCATTCATTTAGTTGTTCAAGTGTTAACCGAGAAGAAAAGCCGTTGCACGCGCCCATCAAGCTCCATTGAATATAGTGGCCTAAAATAAATGTTCATATTTTAAAGACATGGTGGGGAAAAATGTATTTTAATGCAGTGCTTCTTGTACATTCTGAGACCCACTTTATATCAGATATCACACAGGTAGTGGAGATCGCTGATTTTTAAATAAAGCAGATCTTAAACGCACTGATTTTTGTAACAGCATACAGTTCATCTGAAGCATTTGACCCAGATTACTGACAAATTAAAAGTCCTTCTGCATTATTACTTTTGGACCCTGAACAAGTGGGAAGCACATATGCAAACTGTTGTAATTTCTGAAGCGTTCACCTGTTTTGGATGCAAATACCCTCAAATTAAAGCTGACAGTCTGCAGTTAAAGCACATTCGTTTCATTTCAAATCCATCGTGTTGCTGTATAAAGCCAAAAATGATTAAATTGTGTCAATGTCTAAATACTTATAGATCTAACTGTATGTGTGTATATGTATTTATATCTATGCAATACACATACATAGAAACAAAACAATTTTCAGAAAGATATTTAAATTTATATAAAATATTTAATGATATATTAATAATATAATATGTATAATAATAGATAGAAAAATTGTATCATGTGTATATATATATATATATAAAAATATATATATATAAATAAATATAAAGAACCCTTTTCTCCAATATATAAATGCATGTGTGTATAATATAAGTACACAAATTTATTATGTCAAAAAAAACTTTTATTTTGGATGCAATTTATTTTTGTCCAGCAATAATTTTAAACTATAATAAGAAACTCAATATAACAATTTTAAAGAATAATGGAATAGTATATCAACAGTACAAAACAACACTTTTCTATATTCACAGAGATAAGTTTGTCGTGTGTGTGTGTGCGTGCGTGCGTGTGTGTTTTCATGTGAAGATAACTTGCCTGACCTTATGTTACTCCCTTTAACACGTAAAAAGCATCATGTTTTGCAGAGGAGTGTCCAGGACGCTTTAAACGCCTGTTACTCTGTCTCATGTCTCCTCCCCTTTCCTCTCTCTTTTTCCTTCATCTGTTTAGGACTCCTCTCTCTAGAGTTCAGTTTGCAGAGTGATCTTCAGCTTCAGACTGACCTTTTCTCTGGATTTCAGCAGCCTCTTTTTTTTAAGGGGAATTTGCTCAGTCATGTTGGGTTGGAGAGGAACACTTCTGTGTGCATTTCTGTCTCCGCTTTGGACATTAACTCCAGGTACTCCATCATGATTTAGGCACTTATGTGTTGTGTCAGACATTGTATATTGATTTAGATAAAGCATGTGCATTAGTGTTGTTTAATCAATCACATTAAGCTATAGCAAATCAATTCTTTCAATATGTGCTTAATTTATCACTTTTGTACTGCAGAATTAATGTAGAAGTTTTAGCTGGTGTGGTGATTTCTGATGGTTTTCATTCAGGTTCTGCTGATAAAGGCTGCAGTGGCTTTGGGCACTTGGAAAATGGACGTATGTTCTTCCGCTATGGAGGATTGTATGTTACCTTCACCTGTAATCCAGGATTTCGGATACACGGTTACCGTACTAGCAGTTGTGTGTCCGGACAGTGGGCTAGAGATCCTCCGCTATGTGTAGGTAAATGTCTTAAAAATTAATATATATATTCTACACTCAAAAATGTGTCATTGAGATAAACATATCAGTTTTATGAGTGACAAGTACAATCCAATATGTGGTTAAATTCCTTCAATTATCATTCCATGTGTTTGGACTTGCTTCCTAAATTGTGATGTTTGACATTAACTGATCTTTTGCTTCTTTAGTATCCTCAATTTTTGATCAAAAGAATATTACAGTCAGTGTTGGGGAAGGTTTCTTTTGAAAGTAATGCATTACAATACTGACTAATACCCTCAAAAAGTAGCTAATTGCATTACTTAGTTACTTTTTATGAAAAGTAATGCAATATATTACTTGAGTTACTTTTGATCTCTTTCAGAACTTGCAGGTGTTTGTCACCTTTTTTATAAATAAGTTCTGTATGAACAATCACCTATATAACCTACATCTTTATTTTCCTTTAAAAAATGAACTTTCTGAGCCCAGATCTAGAAATGCTGAATATACATGTTAATAAAAGCATGTAAAGTAATGCGTTTGCTACTTTTGTATGTTTTATGTTTTTTTTTTTTAAAGTAAATTCACTGTTCGTTGTGATAAAGATTGCAATAAAGCCCTAGAGTACTAACAAGAAATCATTTATTAAGGCATAAACAGATTGTAAACATTTAAAATGTTTAATAAAAAAAATTAACAGTAAGACAAAAAAAAAAAAAAAAATTGTTGAGCTTTAAACATTGACTAAATTTCTTCACATGGGCTTAACAAATGTGTATATGTGGGGTGCGGGTGTAGTGCTTCGCATCTAGTTTTGTTTTTTGTGTTTTTTCGATGTCGTGTTTTTTGCAGCAGTCAAGAGTTTTATTTACACATAATCTACACTTAACAACAATCCACTTCTTTCCTTCGATGAGTTTAAAATAACAAGAATCCATCGCAAAAATGTAAGTCTCCGGCCTGCCATTGTGTCTGTTTCTGTCTGTAGTGATGACGGGCGATTCGCAAATGAATCGTTTGTTTTAACCGGATCATTTTATAGTTGGCCTGTCGAACCAATTCATTAAATTAAACAGAGTTGACGTGAAATGGTTTGCGTCATCAGGAAGTACTAACATACCGCATACACTCTCTGACTTGAAATAAACTCTTATCAGTTAGTAAAAAAGTTAGTCAGCTAGTTGATTTAGTTAGTAAAACAGTACACTGACTCATCTGCTGTGAAAAAACAGACCTGATGATGATGATGGTAAGTGCAAGCCAGCTGTCTGTTCCCTTGCAGCACGCTCTCTCATTGAGTGTGTGATTCAACCTGACTAAGGTCATTTTTATTCCGCAATATATTTTGTAAAAGCCAGATAAGTTAGGTAAAAAGTAACTTGCGTTACATATTTTTTAACAGTAACTCAAATGATATTACTTATTTTTAAAAGTTATGCATGACTTTACCTGTTACTTTGAGAAAGTAATTACAATTGCGTAACGCGTGTTATTTATAACGCGTTACCCCTAACCCTGATTACAGTGACCGAAGACTTATGCTCTGTCCATTTTAACTACTGTTGGCAGAGATGTTTTTTAATAATGTTTGTGAGGCTTTACAGAGCAAGCTCTTGCAACGTTCCCATGTCTGCTAAATATGAGCCAATTTGGAACATTGTTTATTATTATTATTATTGGCTGATACAATGATCGCATTTATTTAGCAATTAAAGTTGCCAACCTGATTTCACCAAGTAGGACATGTTCCTGGATTTACATCTATATTGATCCTAGAACAACATTCCAATCAGCCAATCAGAATTAAGGGATACGTTTACAGCTTCTGTTAAGTTTAGGCTTGCAGTTAGGTTTATGCACTTCTACATGATTGTTATCCAACTAATATTCCCCTCTGATTTTGGGAATAATTTACAGTTGTAATTGGGTTTAGTGATAGGGAATAGGTATGGACTATATTTTCAAACAAAAATGATGTTCTAGGATCATCATAGATGTTTATCAAGGATCGCATCGGACCTGGAAAAACCATGACGTGCTAATTAAAGTGTTCAGGTACTCACATTTTTTGACTCCTCTTGGACAGCTTCGGTATTATTTTAATTATTAAAACATTTGGATTTGATTTATTTTCTTGTTAAATCTGGCAACATTAATAATCAGGAAACCTACTTTATTGTGATTTTTGCGCCATGGTTACAGAAAAGTAAGAAAACACTAGTTTATAGATTAATTATACTCTAGTAGTTGTTCAGCAGGTGGTAATTTGGTTGTTAAATGCAGCAGTGACTAAATTGCTGAACTGTGTGTGTACAGAAAAGAATTAAAGCGGCAGTTCACCCAAAAATGAAAACTGTTTCATTTACCCTCCGTTGCCTTGATCCAAACTTTTCTAAATTTCTTTCTTCTGTTGAACACAAAAGAAGGTATTTTAAAGAAAGCTGAAACCGGTAATAGCTTAATACCATAGTGTTTGTTTTTTCCTACAATAGATGACAATGGCTAGGTTTTCAGCTTTCTTTAAAAATTTGCTTTTGTGTTTGAAACTCATAGGTTTATAACCACTTGAGTGTGAGTAAATAATCAGTAAATGTTGATTTTGGGTAAACTTAAGTGCTAAAAGGTGACCTAAGAACTTTATTTTTCATAATTTGTTCTGTACTTTAGCATCAGGATGCCCAGGTCCAGGTGATCTCCTGCATGGCAGCGCTGTGGTGTCTAGAGACAGATCTCTGGCATCCTTCAGCTGTGATGCTGGATTCTATTTGTCTGGATCTGCACTGCTCTACTGCAAGGGGAAAAACTGGAACAGCACTAAACCTGTCTGCAAAGGTATGCCATTTCAATCAAGCATGTCATGCCAAAACAGTTTTATCTATTACCATATCATGTTTGCCTTGCTGTTTTTAAATCACTGCTGCAGTGACTTCCTGTACAACTGACCGTCTGTTTGCTTTGGCTCTGTTTTGTTTCTCCCGGTTCTTACAGTGGCAGATATCATGAGTGTTCTCCATCTGAATCAAGAGTTTTTACATGGTCCAGCATATGTTCCTACAAGTCTAAAAAATCACTTGCATAGCCATTTAAACACCATGGCCATCACAGCTCACAAAGACACGTTTCTCAAATCAGCTTTACTTGAAGTTCCTCACGTGACACTCGACTTAACTGACGACAAGCAAACCAGTAGAAAACCTGTAGAGAAAAAGCCCTCAAAGAGTGTTTTGTTTGCAGCTGAGCCAATCAAAAACCCTGAAAACATCAAGGATCTAATCAGGAGCTCTGATCTTCAGAAGCCAGTTCCAGTGACATCCAATGTGAACACAATGTCATTCGCAAGTTCCTTTTACAATTTTATTTTAACCACCACATCAAGCAGCTTTAATACTCCATCAGTGAACTCTCAACAAGTCAAAATCATGGATCAGATGTTTACTGAAACACCATACAGAAGGAATGAGAAAGGATATCAGTCCACATGTGTTACAGATACAACCTCAGTCACTACATCTGCTGAGCGTTTACTAGAATACCTTAAAAATAAACCATTAACTACACTTGCACCAAACATCAACACATTGGGCACAAATGACTATCTACAATCAGGGATCCTCGACAATGAACATTCAGCCACTTTTAAATCTCCAACAGCAAGTTATCCTAGATTTATGCTCTCTGAAAATGAGTCTGCTAACTATCTGAAGCCAACTGCTCCATCTACTTGTAGAGGACTCTGTGAACAAGATGTTCAGAAAACATCTCCATCAACAAATCCCATTGGACATGCATCATCTAGCATGCAGATCACTAAAATAGCATCTGATCTTCCTCCAGTAGATGTTCACCGCTTCATTTATAATGCTGAAGATCAGCAAGTCAATGACAAAAGCAACCAGAGTGACGTTAAACTGACATTTGAATCTCTTGAAGATCTTCCAAGTTTTCCAACTAGAAAACGTCCTGTCTGTCCCTACCCTCCATTTCCTTCTCATGGAACGTTCTACTTTCGATCTATTAAGAATCCTGGGCCGCTCCAATATAAGCATTATATTCAGTATGCATGTTATCCTGGATATACACTGACTAGTGGTGACGTCTACAGCTATTGTGAACACGATGGACAATGGAGTGGCCAGACACCTCTCTGCTTAGGTGAGTAATGACAATATGAGATGTGGAGTTTCTTTTTGCAGGATGAAATAGTTTTTTTATGTGACTTATAATACCACAAGATTCTCACTTACAGAGACATACAATATTATTATGATCAGAGTTAGGTGTCAGGCATTCCACAGTAGTTACTGTATTCTAATTACATTTTTGAGGAACGCTGTAATGTAACAAATTACATTGTAAATGTGTGTAATTTGATTACAGTTACTAATGTCAGTGTAATCACGTTACTTATGTTACAAATATAGCTTTTGTAAGAAAAAATGCTCCTTTTATATCTTGTTTTCTGCTGCAACGTCAGTTAATAACCTTGCGCTTTTAAATTGCTGGAGAACACGAGCTGAAATGGTAGCTGTCGAGAGTGGTTGCTTCTTCAAGTGGAAATACAGATGTTACTTTGATTTTATTGAGCGTAAAAACAAAATTATTGCTGTGAAATGCAGTCCATGTCCAGTCTCTCTGCTTTTAACTTGACCAGCAACTTGTTCAAGCGCTTGAATAGAAAGCATTTTATGACAATACTCGTCACCAATGAGGACACAGAGAAAGGCACCCCTGCTGCAAAATGCACCCCCCTCTGAAATGTGCATATATTAACTTAAATTAATAAAACAAATAATAATAGTTATGACAACTAATGACAATGACTGAGGTGAGTTCTATGAGTGAAACCATTCCCTTAAAGAAGATATATATTTAAATCAATAAATAAGACTTTATTTAAATATAATACCGATGAGATTAAGTGAATTGTTTAATGTGTTTGTGTGAATTGTTTAGTTTGAAACAACAACAAAAAACCCACTAAAAAGCCTCATTTTAGAAACAGACTCATTACATCAGTGGATACTACAGTTAATATTTTTATTTTACTTTTTTTTTTTTACCTAGTGCGTCTCACTTCTTGTTCTTGCCTAAAATATTAATTATATTGGAATATGAACACCCAAACACTGCAGTGCTTTTGCATACTATGGATGTTAGTGGTTACAGGTATCCAGTTTTCTGCTTTTGTGTTTAAAAAAAGGAAAACGGGTTTAAAACAAGTAAATTATGATAGAATTTTAAGTTTTGTCAAGCTGCTGTGATCAACCCATTGTTATGTTTTACAGTGAAAGAGCTGCAGTTTATTTTGTATTTTTATAGGTATATTTTGTATGTTTTAAAGTAACTTCAAAGTAATTAGTAATGTAATCAGATTACAATTTTCCATTAGTAATCAGTCATTTGTAATCTATTAAGTTTTTAAAGTAACTTACCCAACACTGATTATGAATACTATTTTTTTTTATTATTTGATTTTATCTGGGAAACCTAACACAGCCTTAACCTACAGTTAAGACAAATTATTAGCCCTCTTGTAAAATGAATGTTTTGTTTAATGGAGCAAGGACATTTTTACAGAATTTCCTATTCTATTTTCCTCCTGGAGAAAGGCTTATTTCTTTGTTTATTCCAGTTAAACTAAAAGAAATATGTACTATCATCATGGCAAAGACCAGAAATTAGTTGGTATTTTCAAAATATGTTAAAATCTTAATCTCATCACTAGAGTGATGTTTGAAAAAGTAATAAAAATAAAATTTTCATTAAATTTACTATGTTTTGTCTTCAGCTGTATTTCCGCCGATTATGTAATTTGTTCAATTGTAATTATAAAAAAAAAGGAAAAAAGTAGTGAAGCCATAGGACAAAGTAAGTCATAATTGTAAGATTAAAAGACACTATTTTATTAAGATTTATTAGTTTATTTTTTTTAATCCTATAATTTAGATCTTTTGTTTCTGTTATCTCTGTTTTCACTTTTTGTCATGTCAATTGAACTTTTGACTTATTTCAAACGCAAGACTTGGGGCATATTCTTTATTTTTAGAAAGATTTAATCCAGGAGTGGGCAAATTCGGTCCTGGAGGGCCGGTTTCCTGCACAGTTTAGCTCCAACTCTTATCAAACACACCTGCTTATTGATTTCTAGTGATCTTGAAGACACTGATTGGCATGTTCAAGTGTTTTTGATTAAAGTTGGAGCTAAACTATGCAGGAAACTGGCCCTCCAGAACCGAGTTTGCCCATCCCTGGTTTAATCTGTCAGATTGCAGATATATAACATCTGTGTTAAATATCTACTCTAGACAGGTGACAGGCTGAAATATTCAACACAGATGGCCTCAGAATGCCTTTAAACATCATCAGACACCTCTGGGAATATGTGTTTATACTGGAGGATGTTACTCTTTTGACCTCTTTTGAGGCGTTCTGTTAAACGCATTATCTTATTTCAGAGATGCACATAAAAGTAGCTTAATGAATCAAATTCAGTTCACCAAAGTGCTTTAGAGTGCAGTCTCTGTCAAACAAAAAGTAATCTTAAAATCATGTAACCATTGAATGTGTTTCCTGTCTACACAAGGTAAATTCATCAGTCTCTGTAAACCACTGCAGATGTGGGATTTCACTCTCATCAGCGAACAAATCATATCCCTTTTCTCTACATTTAAACCATGAAAAGTATATTATTTAAAAAGGGATTGCTCAGTCTGTCACTTTGTTGCAAATGAAAATAAAAACACATGGTGGCTCAGTGGTTAGCACTGTCACCTCACAGCAAGAAGGTCGCTGGTTTGAGTCCCAGCTAGACCAGTTGGCATTTCTGTGTAAAATTTGCATGTTCTCCTCGTGTTTGTGAGGGTTTTTTCCAGATGCTCCGGTTTCCCCCACAGTCCAAACACATGCGCTATAGGTGCATTGGGTCGGCTAAATTCTCTGTAGTGTATGAGTGTGTGTATGTGAATGCGTGTGTATGGGTGTTTCCAATACCTGGTTGCGGCTGAAAGAGCATCCGCTGTGTAAAACATATGCCGGATAAGTTGGCGATTCATTCCGCTGTGGCGACCCCTGATGAATAAAGGGACTAAGCTGAAGGAAAATTAATAAATGTTAATTTCCTCATGTTCATTTTAATTGCAGAATTAACTCCTTGCTCCTTACACAATGGTGGATGCTCTCAGATCTGCCGTGTCAATGAACATCATCGTGCCCAGTGTGTTTGCAAACCAGGATTTCTGCTTTTAGAGGACCAGCGCACTTGTCGAGGTGAGAGACTAACCATATGCACGTTTAATCCAGTTATTGACTGTTGTGTCTTAAAGTAACACTCCACTTTTTTAGAAGTCAGCTGGAGTTAAACAGTTGAGTTTGCCTTTTTTTTTATATCTGTTCAGCCGATCTCCAGGTCTGGCAGAAGCACTTTTAGCTTATTTTAGCATAGATCATTGAATCAGATCAGAGTTTTAAATTAAAATTATTTTCCTATTTAAAGCTTGACACTTCTGTTTCTGAAATGACCTAGCACTGTAACCTAATTAGCTAACTGGGGACTATTTTCAGGTGCTGCATAATATCATTGCTCCAGCTGCAGCCATGGTACTGTAGCAAAGTTCCATGATTTTTACACCTGAATGAGATTATAGTCCCTAGCCATATCAGCCAAGAAAAAAGCAACTATCCTTTTTTCCAACGGTCTATGTATATCCAACGGTCTATATAGAACAACAGAAATGTCCAGATTTAAATAGGAAAATTATATCTAAACTATTTTTAAAAGTTTTGAACGAGATGCTAATGGTCTAATCCAATTCAATGGTTAATGCTCAGCTAAGCTAAAAGTATTCCTGCCAGATTCAAAATGGTAAAACTGTTTAACTGTGTAAAAAGTGGAGTACTACTTCAGAATGGCATTCTTTAGACAGCCAGACTCCATGTGATTATAGGTTTTTTCACTTTAGGATTGGTGGCTTTCTCTTTTTTTTCCCATTATGAGGTGGTCCTAACTCCTGACACTGGGTTAAGGGATTGTTTATGCATCCTTGACCTGTGTGAATTAGATTTATGGGTTTTGGTTGAAAATCAGCTGTGATGTGTCTGATGCCTATAATACTCAACCTCACCCTCTGGTGTCACCCTGGGGCTTTGAATTCTTGACCCGTATCAGGAAATGATTGTTATCTGAAGCTAAGAGGCTAGGTAAAGCACATGAAAATAGTTCAGTAAAAAAATAAAATAAAACCCTTAATTTACTGTTTACTCACCTTCAGAGCATCGAAGATTCAGCTGACTTTTTCTTCAGTAGAAGAATGAGGAAGATTTTAGCTTAAAATGTATGGAAAAAAGGTACCGGCACCTTGAGAAGGGAAAAAAGACAAGGCAAACATAAGACATTAAGTCTGATTTTCTGAAATAAAAAATAAATCAAAACTAAGTTTAACTAAAATGTTGTGGAATACTAGAAAAACTGCATTTACAGTAAGTACCTTGGATAAATCTGTTCACTTGGTCATGCATCTACATATAAAAAGCATATGCACATCAGTATGTTTGGATTCATGTGTCCATGCTTTTACATGCCAGTACCTGCTTTTAGATGCTTTTTGGATGTTTGTATGTGTGTGTTTGGGGTATTTATAGATTTGGATGAGTGTGTGGAGGAGCTGCACCTGTGCCAGCAGGCCTGTGAAAACACCTTGGGCTCATACAGGTGCAGTTGCAGTCCAGGATTTCAGCTCTCTGCAGACGGGACATCCTGCTCTGGTGAGTGTATCAACGTCTCAGAAAAATACCAAAAACATCCTCAAAACAGATCATATGCCTTCAGTGGTTCAATCAGAATATCAAACTACAAGAATACTTTTGTGCGCACATAACATACAAAATTGGCTTCATTTAACAGTTTTTTTCTCCTTTTAATCATCCATTTTTTGATGCCATGCCTAAAGTGGATATTATTGAGCTAGTGAATGTTAATCTTTCTGCCTGCAGATGTGGATGAGTGTCAGCTTGTTGGTCGGGCCCTCTGTGAATTTGGCTGCATTAATACACCAGGCAGTTTCCAGTGCTTGTGTGCTGAAGGGCACCAGCTGGACAGCACAAACAGACATTGCATAGGTCAGTTGACTACATATCCAGACAACACTTAGTCAAAGAAAGGTCAGAAACTCATAAGAACATAAAGCGTGTAAACATATACAGTTGAAGTCAGAATTATTAGCCCCCGTTTATTTTTTTCCCCAATTTCTCTTTAATGGAGAGAAGATTTATTCAGCACATTTCTAAACATAATAGTTTAATAACTCGTTTCTGATAACTGATTTATTTTATCTTTGCCGTGACGACAGTAAATAATATTTTACTAGATATTTTTAAGACACTTCTGTACAGCTTAAAGTGACATTTAAAGGATGGTTTGTTCTGCAGACTATCGAGAAAATATATAGTTTAAAGGGGCTATTCGTTTTTACCTTAACCATGGGTTTTAAATAAATTTAAACCTGCTTTTATTCTAGCTGAAAAAAAAAACAAATAAGACTTTCTCCAGAAGAAGAAATAATATCGGACATACTGTGAAAATCTGTTGCTTTGTTAAACATGATTTGGGAAATATTTAAAAAAAGAAAAAACTTTTTTTTTATTATTATTTTTTAGGGGTTTTCATCTTTATTGATAGGACAGTGGAGATATAGAGACAGGAAAGTGTGGGGAGCAGAGATAGGGGAAGGATCAGAAAAGGACCTCACGACGGGAACCGAACTCAGGTCGCTGCGAGCACCTCTGTGCTATGTGTCGATGCACTAACCACTAGGCTATTGGCGCCAACAGAAAAAACTATTTTACAGGTGGCTAATAATTATGACTTTAACTCGATATATACATATGTATGTATGCATGTATGTTATACATTTATTTATGAATTTATTAGTTTTACAATCTTTCAACATACATTTTACCGCTTTCAGACATTAATGAGTGTGAGGAGGAACAGTTGCATATGTGCGAGTGGAAGTGTGTGAATCTGCCTGGTACTTACAAATGTATCTGTCCTCGTGGATACAGACTGCACTCTAATAGACATCAATGTGAAGGTCAGCATACAAACACACAACCTACAGCAACGACAGATGTAAAATCTTATATGCATACTATTACACACAACAAAAGTCTGTTAAAACGTGATATTACCATATATTTCAGTACCTGCATTTAAGAGTTTATTTCTTCTGTTATTTGCCAGATATTAATGAGTGTGAACTGAAAAACGGCAGCTGTTCACACCTCTGCATAAACCACAGAGGCGACTACAAATGTGCCTGTCCAGAAACACACAGAATATCCCCATACAACCCAAAAAACTGTCTGCCAGTAGAGAGACACCTGAAAATCACTTGAGGATATTTTTCTGGTTTTGTATATTATTTTACCTGACTTTTGTATTGTATACAATATAGTTCATATTTTGCACCCACTTTATATGCGTAAGCTCTAATGGTGATGGAGACATTGGTCCTAACTATATGTGTAATTTATATGTATATACACTGTATTTATGATATTTATTATTCTAAATTCATGTTATTGCTTACCAAGAATGTGGTGATTTCTTACCACCTGTTGTTTTAGAACGGTAATCTAATGGATTGTTTTTATTTTGGTTGAGATGTGATGCTGCGGCACCACCCAGTGGTCAGATTGCGGTGTTACATTCCTGAGAAATGACCACATAAACACCTTACAGCCATTTTATTAGGTACATCTTGCTACTAATGTCGTCACACTCATTTTGCCTTCACATCTGCCATAATTTACTGATGTAAACATTTAACAATGTGCTGGAATTATTCATCTGAGATTCTGATTGTAGCATCACCTTGTTGGCTGCACATTCATAAATCTCAAACACATCACAAAGGTTCTCATTTGGACAGAGATGTGATGGCAATGGCATATTGAGAATATTCCAGTAAACTTATTATCATGTTCAAGAAACTAGTTTGTGATTGTCTGAGTTTTGTGACATGGGCTGTTTCTAAATTCCAAGAACGCAGAGAAATGACTTGCGTACTTGTGAAGACCAGTCTGCCAGAAGAACAAACCTCAGAAGAACAAACTCGAGAGACCGCGAGAACACAGAATGCATCCTGTGAGAAATGAGATTTTGTGATCTTCCTGATAGTCACATGACTTTCTCGCGTTTTTAACCAAAAAATATTTAAACATTACAGCATTCATGCAGGGATTTATTGTTTTTTTCCCTTTTTACAATATATACTATGCATAAAGACTTTACATATATACGTTACACAATACAAATAATACAGACTTTAATATGAATTTCAACAACCTTTAATGTGTTTATGCCTTTATAAAGATTTTCATGGTAATGTTACTTTCACCGTTTCGTTTAGGGAAACTCCTGAGGTAAATGAGTTAAATCTCTGAACTTTAATAATAAACCTATATAAAATGCGGGGCTTCCCACCTCCAGTCGCAATGACTTCTGGGACTTCTAGAACGAGTTCAGTGCTCAAGTCTGCATCGGTGCATCCTCGATACCAAGAATACATCTGGGAACTTTCATGCGTCCTTAGTTTTTGCTGTCTTGAGTTTTGGAACTAAACTTTGGCAGTTGATGATGATGTTACACTGGAACCTGAGGACGCAAGAATGCTGAACTACGCATATTGAGAAACAGCCATGGTGTGCTTTCCTGCTGGAAGTAGCATCAGGTCAAGAATAGACATGGTCAGGAACAACATTCAGCTAGGCTGTAGTGGATTGACTGTCATATAAACATTAAGGGGATGGATCACCCCAAAATTGATTCTGCCATAATTTACTTACCTTTGAAATGTTACCTATTAGTTTTTTTTCTTGTTAACACAAAAGAAGATATTTTGATAAATGTTGTAAACCTATTAGTAGCACTAAAACAAAAAACTAAAGCTGCTTTGGAATGGTAGAATTCTCAGTTTTGAGTGAACTATCCCTTTAAGGGGCCCAACGTGTGCTAATAAAATCCCCCACACCATTAAAACAGAAAGATGGGTGGGTTCAATGCGTTCATGTTATTTATAACACATTCTGTATCTGCCAGCTAAATGTTGCAGCAGAAAATAAGACTCATTGGATGAGGCAACCATTTCCTTATCTTCTGTTTTCAATTTTGCTGAGTCTCTGTAAACTGTTGCTTCTATTTCTCTGTTCCAGGCTGACAGGAGTGTGCTTTTTGCCTCTGTAGCTCATCTGCTTCAACTTTAAATCCATTCAGAGATGCTCTTTTGCTTATTTTGGTTGTAATGAGAGGTCATTATAGTTACTAGTGCCTTTCAGTCATTTTAAATCTAGTCTATTCTAACCATGCCATGCTCTGTCACTTTAAATAAACTTTTCTTTCCCATTCCAGAGTTTGAACTTTAGCAATTCGCCTTGACCATGTTTGCATGTCTAAATGCAAAGAGTTGCTGCTGCTGCTGTGTGATTGGTGTTATAAATACTTGTGTATTTGTAGCAAACAGTGTAGGCCACTAGGTCACTTGCGCAATAAATGATTAGTTTTAGGTTCAACTTACTGCAAAGAAATGTGTATCTGACTGATATCCTGAGCACGTAAACGGTCTGGTTAAATTGGTATGATTTCATCATGGAGCTCCACAACGCCTAATGATCAACACAGGGCTGATAATAGGAGTGATGAACTGAATTTACAAGCCCACTGACAAAGGTAAACATTTCATTGATATTCATTACTTAATACTAGCAGCATTGAGACTAGTATTTAAAAATAAGAGAAAATTGTAAATAAGGATGCTGGTGCTACTAAGATGATTAAAACATCAATGTTAAATGAATTTGTTATATAAACACCTCTAATGACTGCATGTGATTTTAAAGCAATGTTTACACTTTCGTCACTTGATTATCTGCATTTTAACCCCAGGCTAGACAGAGTAACAAAGGTCCTGGTATATCAGCCAGTAAAAAAGAAGGCAGAACCTAAGCAGGACTTTGTACCTACATGTCATTGTGATACATATGTAGTGGCTTTTTTTGTATTCAAAGTAATTGCTTTTGTTTTTGTCTGATTCTTCCTTTCATTTAAGAATGGCCCTTGAGGTAACAGATCACACAGCTGACTAATCCTCTCAGGAATTCACACAGAAAAGCAAGCCGCGATCCAGTTTGCTCCAACGGGCACTTAAAGAGAGTGCCACACAAAACATTGAATCCATGCCAGAATGCCTGTTCCCTCTAGCACACATGGACATCCAAAGATGGGACTGGTTGCATTTATCTGGTGCATCGTTCTCACATTTGCATCTGCAGGAGAGGCTGTGAAGTCTAAAGAAGCTAGTTGGACTGGTTCACTTTTAGTGGTTCCAATGGACGGGAGTCACTGGACTGGTGTGAAGGCTTTAGCAGAGGAGATGGGCCGCAGGGGTCACAAAGTGACAGTGGTCATTCCAGAGGTCAGTGTACTTCTTGGACCTGGTAAACACTATGTGACTAGAACATTTCCAGTTCTGTATGGAAAGCAACAACTGGACGAACTTCAAGCTCGAAATGCTCAGGTGATGGAGAGTAAGCAGCTTCCCCTGATGGAGAAGATTAGCACCAGATTTAGTAACATGAGGAAATTTGTGAATCTCCAGCGGGCCACCGCTGAGAGTCTATTATTGAACCAAGAGCTTGTGGATTTCTTGAGGAAGCAGAACTTTGATGCTGTTCTCACCAGCCCGGCTGTGCCAACAGGAGCCATTCTGGCCTATAACCTGTCCTTACCTGCTGTGTATATGCTGCGAGGATTACCCTGTGGACTCGACTCGGTGGCCACAGCCTGCCCAAACCCTCCCTCTTACATACCTCGGTTCTTTACACACAGTTCGGACCGGATGTCTTTTGGTCAACGTGTGCTGAATGTTCTAGTGAGCATGTTGGAGCCTTTACTCTGCAGACTGATATATTGGACAACTGAGGATGTGGCATCCCGTTTCATGCAGAGAGATGTGAGTGTGACAGAGGTCCTGAGCAGTGGAGCTCTGTGGCTTCTGCGGTATGATTTCACTCTGGAGTTTCCGAAACCCTTAATGCCCAACATGGTTCTAATTGGTGGGATTAACTGTGCCATAAGACACCCTCTGACTAAGGTAAGTGCACAAATGTTTGTACACTTAAATGCATGTTTGAAAAGGAAATTCAAAAATACTAATTTGTTATGTAGATTGTGCATGAGTTTTGCAGAGAAGTAAAGCATCAAATAAGCACATACAAGAGGAAAAAATCTAAAATAAAACAGACCAAATAATATAAAATCATGTGTTAAGCCAATTAAAAAAGCTAAATATGTTAACACTTCTAAAAGCTTCAAGATTTTTAGAGGAAGCAATAGTTCGGTAACACTTTATTTTGATGGTCCATTTGAGTATTAGACTGTCTGCTTTAGTATATGGAATTTTGCAAGAATTAAAAGGAGGTTAATAATGAAATATTCCTTACTTTTCTCATCAGGGGTATTGAAAAAAACAACAACAACAGGATATCCTTAAAAGATAACAAGAGTCCCGGTAGTATTTTGTAATGAATAACCAAAGAAAGTTTTTGTCAAAGAATTGTGTATGAGGACAATTCCAAAAAATATGATCAGCAGTTTCATTGGCTATATTACAGAAAGAGCAGCATGTGTATATATATTCGACTTAAATTTTTGCTTCTTGTCAGGTCTGAATGAAAGACCCAAGTGAGTCTCGTCACAGTTTGTTTTGTCCTCTGATTGGCCCATTGTCCACCGGGGTTTTGCACTCGAGGAATTTACATGAAAACGAGGAGACAGTGGTGTCTGAGGCTCACTGTATGCTCATTTACATATACTGATCTTTTATTTTTCTACTATGCTTCGGTTTACCCAGAGTTTTATTATAGGTCACTCTTAAACATTAATGGTAACTCATTTCTTATACAGTTTTTATGTAATTTTTAACAATGACAAAAACTTGAACATCATCATAAGTGGAAATGTGGTTGTCCCTCAGAACAAAGTTCATGCTTCAATAATGTTTATCACTGGCAATAATGATGTTTACACTGGCAGTATTGTAATAATTTACCCTGAAAGAACTGTGTGCACGGCAAACTCTTTAAACTTTATACTCTTAATGTTAAGTTGAGCTTTCTGGGGTTTTTAAATTGTTGTTATTTCTGTTTTGTGTTAGCTCACTATATTTTGTGATGAATTTTGTTCTGTAAAAACATTAAATGTGTTTCACAAAGGTAAAGTCTGTCTTACGTCATGTCTCTAGCCATTAAAATGCTGGAAAGTAACGTACTTGTTGATTGTAAATTGCAAAAGCAACATTTGCAGACAGTCTCAAACAGACACAGAGGTAGCTTATTTTTACTCAGCATTCAACTGGGCAAACTAAAATAAGGTACTTTTTCTCATGTTGTAAATCAAACCCCAGAAAGCTTTGTTTTTGCAATCTAATTAATGCTTCATGGCCTAGTATAATGAAGGTCCCTCCTAAAACAAATGTCTAGCCACTAGCAAGCTGGATCTGGGGGTTTTGTCTGATAGTGAATTGTGAAAGCGGTCAGCTCATATACTCACAAAGACAGTATATAGGCACAGAGGTAAAGGTTTACAGTGTCAGGAGAACACTTGATGACTTTAACAATGCACTTAGGAGTGATATTCAGTCTAGTGGTCGGTGTAGTCTGTTCTGCAGCGGTGAATCAGAAACCATCCAGGAACAGCAGCTGGACTGGGAAGCTGTTAGTGGTGCCCATGGATGGAAGTCACTGGACAGGGGTGAAGGCCGTAGCAGAAGAAATGGGACGCAGAGGACACACTGTGATTGTGGTGATTCCAGAGATCAGCATGCGCTTGGGTCCAGGCAAACACTACATCACTAAGAAGTTTCCGGTTAAGTGCAAGCCAGATTTACTCAACCAGATGATAATGAAACACATTAATGAATTGTCAGCTCCAGAGCAATCCCTATTGAAGAGAGTGACTTCAAATATCTACAATTTAGGAAAGATTGTTGACTGTTTCATCTCTACAACTGAGAGTCTGTTCCAGGAGCAGGAGCTTATAGAGTTTCTGAGAGATCAAAACTTTGATGCTGTTTTAACTGATCCTGCAATGCCAATGGGAGCCTTATTGGCATATAACCTGTCCGTACCTGCAGTGTACATGCTAAGAGGATTGATGTGTGAATCTAAAGCTACAGCCTGTCCAGATCCTCCCTCCTACATCCCACGTTTCTTCACACAAAACTCAGACCACATGAATTTTGGTGAGCGTGTAAAACACTTGCAAGTTTGATGGAACCGCTGATGTGTGGATTTATGATTCGTACTTTTGAGGAAGTGACGTCCAAATTTCTGCAGAGAGATGTGAGCATGACTGAGATCCTGAGCACTGGAGCTGTTTGGTTGATGCGTTATGATTTTACCCTGGAGTTCCCCAAACCCCTGATGCCCAACATCATTAACATAGGAGGAATTAACTGTGATGTTAACAACCCACTGATGAAGGTGAGCATCACCATTATATGCGTAATGTATAGTGTGTTGTGGGTAACCAAAATGGCAATTTCAGTGTACTGGACCATTTATATTCTGCTGTACAGTGTGTCTTTTCTAATCTACTTCACCAAGCACTGGCATCGCATGAATAAAACAGCATTTTGTTGTTATTTTTGTGGATCTCATTTTAAACTCTTAGACCCTTGAAGCTCAACATTGTGCTTTGTTTTGTTTTTCAAGAGAAGGTCACTTACTCCTAGTTTCATTGATCAAGGTTTAAGCCTAGTCCCACAAAATAATTTAAGTCTGAGCTGTTTAAATTGAAAGAAACTTGCACTGACTAATTTTAAATCAATCAGAACTTTTGTTTTGTCTTAAGATCGTCCAGTATTTTTCTTTGGCCATGTTCATTGAACCAGGCCTTAGTGTTTAAGGATTCAGAGATGAGTAGTTTTTGCTCTTCATAGAGGGGTAAAAAAAGGGTATCATTTGGCTGGACAAGCTTCTGACTGCATCTTGTTAGCCGGTCATTGACTACTAGATAAAGCTGTGTGACATACCTTGAACAATACCACACCATATTTGTTCAATTAGGCCAGTGCAGTTTGGGTTGTTTGCCACTGTCATATTTGGCTTGCGTGTTTGGGGACTGAATTCCACAAAACGTTATAAACTTTGAAAACTTTATCTACTAATATGATCAAGCTTGATTCAATTCAGTTGTTTGTTGTCATCTGAAGAGCTATTTTCTTCTGTGAAGCTCCTCTACAACCGAATCACATCTTACAAGGTCAGAACTGAAATAAATCCAACACTACTCTCTAAAGTTGAAAAAGATGTCATTTTGTAAAACTGCATAGTCCTGAAGTGAGCTCAATGCTAATTTGATAAAACTGACCTCATCTGAGCAATAACACTGTTGTCTTTAAGAGCTGCTTCCTAGCTGAGACTTATCCCTAAACAAATAAAGGGTGATGAGTTTAAAATAAGTCTTGATTAATTTACCTCTATATAAAGCTTGATTGTCACTTTGAACACAGTTAAAAGTTTAAGCATTGTTTAGCACTGCCAATAATTATTTTAACAGTGGTGTTAAATGTTAAATCATTTACTTAGAACTGAGTGCAACTGGTAAAATTTTACTAAAGAGAGAAAAAAAGGTAATCTGGTTAAGTCAGCATGACTCAATTTTTTTAAATGAGTTGTTAAAAATGCAACTTAACCTTTTTTTCTTTCTTGAAAAGTCTTGAAAAACCTTTTCTCATGTAGAGTTATGCATTTTCAACTTGCTGACATGTTACATGTGAGGGACATTTTGAGCCATCTATTGTAATACTCTACAGAAACTCTACAGATCCTAAATAGTAAGATATTCATTCAACAATTTTCTTTTTCGGATTAGACCCTTTATTAATCAGGAGTCACCACAGTAGAATGTACCGCCAACTTACTCAACATATGTTTTAAGCAGCAGATGATCTTCCAACTGCAATCCATCGCTGGGAAACAATACTAACATATCTTGGTTATATATTTTTATTTTTAAGTTTTTTGATTAGCCTATGAAGCCAAACAAGGAGATTCTTTTCTAAGTATTTTGATGGAAAGGTTTGTTTTGTCAGCCAAAAATAATGAATATTCAGTGTTTTCATAATCTATCAGAAATGCTGCTCAATATGTGTTGATTTTCCTGATACTTTGAAACTTTTTCTCGTTTCCGGTGCAAAGTTTTAACTCGCTGATGTGTTTTAAAATGTTGAAGTGTTAACACAGAAAACTACAGTAGAATGGAAACTGATTTTTCCTTCTTGACATTAGTAACTGTAAAGAACTACAAATAAGCAGATATTATAACAATCTATCGATAAACACACTGCTCTCTTGCTCTCCACTGCTGTGGTCTGCAAATTAAGAGAAGTTTTATAATCTCATTTTGAGAGGAGCACATACTATGATTGATCAGGCCTGGTCTCATCCCTAGTAATCGATAAACCAAACCGATCAATCCAAGCCTACAATGAATAGCCCATTTTCATCTTATCTTCATTACTGAAGAATTCATCCCTTCTACCCCATCTCCTCTTTTCCTCCTTAACTGGGGGAACTCTCGAGACCTACCTTATCTTGGACCCCTTTTCATGCTAAATGACCAGGAGGGAGCCCTGGGCTCAATTATTTCTGAGCTCACGGTTCTCTCCCAGGACAGCATGCCAAACCTGCAATTAGTATCAAGCAATATCTAAGTGTGATCTCTTATAAGGAAGAACATGCTGAAAGACAGGGATCATATAAAATTTAGTCACTGTCCCACAAACTTGAGCATTTTCAAAATCATGATATTTTCCTTATGGGTTGGCCTTTCCCCATATGCAAACACAGTAACTGGTCACTGAAACTTTCCGAAAACTCCTGTCAGGGTGAAGTTTCACAAAATAAATGCTGGGGTGCAGAAAAAGGAAATGGTGGTGCATTCAATAATGCATTCATTAATCCATATGGTCATACGGTAGCTCAGTGGTTAGCATTGTTGCCTCACGGCAAGAAGGCTGTGGTTTGAGTCCTGGGCCAGTTGGCGTTTCTGTGTGGAATTTGTATGTTCTCCCTGTGTTCGCGTGGGTTTCCTCCGGGTGCTCCGGTTTCCCCACAGTCCAGGACATGTGCTGTAGGTGAATTGGGTAAGCTAAATTGATCGTAGTGTATGTGTGTATGCCCCGGTCCTCCAGATTGGGGGTTGAGTGTTGGAATAACAACTCGCCTCATAAAAACTAGATATGGTGCGGCTAAATATCAACTTTGATATAAATGACCCTGGGAGTCAGTAAACGGCGAGGGAGAGTTCTTTGTTTAAAGCAAAGTGTATTGGTATAGAAATGTCTTGCATTACTATGAATGGGCAAAATTGTAACGCTCAGTTTGGGTAACACAGTGAAGGAAGTCCTGCCTTCTGATCCTTTGCAGGAGGGGTCTATACTGATGAACTAATTTGTTATGGCTTGCCCTGTTGTTTGGCATGTCTGCATTATTTTGACAAGAGAAATAACAGCACAATCACATCCCATCCATCACATGCAGGTTTTGTCTGTTATTTCAGTTTTTTCTTGTAACCACATCTAGTTTTCCAATGAAAGTCATAAAGGCGATTGGTGGTCAGTCTTTGCACATGTGCAGCAACTAGAGCAAACTGAAAATAACATAATTAGTACTTAAACAACAACAATAAAGGGACAGATCACTACAGATGTTGTTTCTGATTTGAAATGTTTAATATGATTGTGAGTTCATTGAAGAGTTTTTCAGATTTCAGGATTTCTCCATTCATTTAGATAATGCTTGAATCAACTGCCAGGAGAAGTTGCTAATAAGGCCATTCAATGAACAGACTTCCCTTAAATGAATTTTGGATTAAAGTCTACAGATAAAACTAAGGTGGTCTTTTCACTCGTAAACATTAATGGTAACTCATCTCTTATACAGTTATTATGTAATTTTTAACAATGACAAAAAACTTGATGCATCATGATATGTGGAAATGTGGTTTTCCTTCAGAACAAAGTTCATGCTTCAATAATGTTTATCACGGCCAATAATGACGTTTACACTGGCAGTATTGTATTTACCCTGAAAGAACTGTGTGCACGGCAAACTCTTTAAAATGTTACGTTAGGGTTAGTTTAAATTGTTGTTATTTCTGTTTTGCGTAACCTTACTATATTCTGTGATGGATTTTGTTCTGTAAAAACACTATAAATTTGTTTCACAAAGGTAAAGTCTGTCTCACGTCATGTCTCTAGCCATTAAAATGCTGGAAAGCAACGAATTTGTCAGATTTTAAATTGCAAAAGCAACATTTGCAGATAGTCTCAAACAGACACAGAGGTAGCTTATTTTTACTCAGCATTCAACTGGGCAAACTAATATAAGGTACTTTATGTTTGTTGTGAATCAGACCCCAGAAAGTTTTGTTTTATGCGATATCATTAATGTTTCATGGCCTACTATAACGCAGGTCCCTCCTACAACAAATGTCTAGCCACTAGCAAGCTGGATCGGGGTTTTGTCTGATAATGAATTGCGAAAGCGGTCACTTCACTTCACTCTCATAGAGAGCAAACACACAGAGGTAAAGGTTTACAGTGTCAGGAGAACACTTTGTGACTATAAATATGCATGGAGTGATATTTAATCTAGTGGTCGGTGTAGTCTGTTCTGCAGCGATGAATCAGAAACCATCCAGGAACAGCAGCTGGACTGGGAAGCTGTTAGTGGTGCCCATGGATGGAAGTCACTGGACAGGGGTGAAGGCCGTGGCAGAAGAAATGGGACGCAGAGGACACACTGTGATTGTGGTGATTCCAGAGATCAGCATGCGCTTGGGTCCAGGCAAACACTACATCACTAAGAAGTTTCCGGTTAAGTACAAGCCAGATGTACTCAACCAGATGATAGCAAAACTTGTTAATACATTATCAGCTCCAGAGCAATCCCTATTGAAGAGAGTGACTTCAAATATCTACAATTTTGGAAAGGTTGTTGACTATTTCATCTCTACAACTGAGAGTCTGTTCCAGGAGCAGGAGCTTATAGAGTTTCTGAGAGATCAAAACTTTGATGCTGTTTTAACTGATCCTGCAATGCCAATGGGAGCCATATTGGCATATAACCTGTCCGTACCTGCAGTGTACATGCTAAGAGGATTGATGTGTGAATCTAAAGCTACAGCCTGTCCAGATCCTCCCTCATACATCCCACGATTATTCACACAAAACTCAGACCACATGAATTTTGGTGAGCGTCTAATGAATACACTTGCAAGTTTGATGGAACCGCTGATGTGTAAATTGAAGTTTAGTGCTTTTGAGGAAGTGACGTCCAAGTTTCTGCATAGAGATGTGAGCATGACTGAGATCCTGAGCACTGGAGCTGTTTGGTTGATGCGTTATGATTTCACCCTGGAGTTCCCCAAACCCCTGATGCCCAACATCATTAACATAGGAGGAATTAACTGTGAAGTTAACAACCCTCTGACGAAGGTGAGCATCACAATTGTACGCGTATAATTGGATGTGTGTATGGGTGTTTGCCAGTACTCTGTTGCAGCTGAAAGGGCATACAGTATGCTGTGTAAAGCATATGCCGGAGAAGTTGGCGTTACAATCTGCAATGGTGACCCCTAATGAATAAAGGGACTAACTGAAGGAAAATGAATGAATGAATAATGCATGTTTATGCAAGGGCATATAGATCTGCTTTTGATGAATTATGACTTATTGCATGGTGTAGGTCAGTATTTCTCAATTGTTTATGTGGACTCTTCCAGAATGGTTTAGTTTTCTCTCCAATTAAAGGGCACCTATGGTAAAAAATCTACTTTTCAAGCTGTTTGGACAGATCTGTGTGTTGGTATAGTGTATAGACCGTCATACTCGGG